TAAGCATGTCCTTGATCGTTCCCCAGAGAGATTAGTAGCTGAGTCATGCTCTTGTTGCTTTTGTTTTTGGTGGGTTGATAAGATATTTGGAAAGAACTATTAATAAAAACCCAATATGAAACTCATACTAGTGTTCAGACATCCATAAATTTGAGTATACAATCTATAGGATAAGTTACTTTTCTTTGGCTCATAGTCCACAATTGGAATTAATATTATTATACCAGATAATGATTTTACAAAAGCAACACATCAAAAGTCAAGGTCACCTCTGGAATTCTTCTGTTTCTCTTCCCTCTGTTTTTATTAATAAATATGAAATAAAATATGACAACATAATGACTGCCAAAAACAGAACAATTGAAAATGTGTTATAGGTTAAGTCATCTACTTTACATGCACACAGTTATATATAATGCATTCTCAGGAAATGGTTTGTTATGCAAGTGTTCACATAACGAGTCAAACAATTTCCATTGATTCCTATGGGGAAATTTATAATGCATTCCCAACAATGAAATGCTGATCTCAACAAGATGAAAAAGATGGGAAACCCGCCCTTCAAACCCTCTTAAACCTTGGAAAAGTCAAACAAGGGAGGAAAAAATGTTTCATGATTTGCCCAATCTCTCCCTCTTTCTTCCCCCTCCCTTGCTCCTTGCATCTACCATACTTATTGGTAAGCTGTCTGCTGCAGACCAGTGAAACATAAAAAAGTAAAATTTGTTTAAGGCTCCTTATTTGTTTACTGTATGCAGGCAGATTCAGCTGCTTTGATATGTGAATCAATGGTGTGTTTAGTGAGGTTTAGGTACTAATTCCTCATGTTTGAATAAGTGAATTTATGTATAACAAGCATTTGGATAGTGGGATCTGTGTGTGTATCGATGGCAGTGTTTCTCCTGGAAAGTTTCAACTTTCACAGCAGTTAGATATATATGGCTCACCCATTTACAGGAGCGCTTCTTGACAAAAGCTTGCCTTTGGGCATCCCAACCTTTTCACTTAACTGAAAGTTAAATGTTTTTGAGGAAGGTAATACACCTTACACATTGTTTTAAAAGCTTAACTATATATATACTCATCTCTCAAACGACTTTTTAAAATTATTTGTCAATATTACTAGTACTCATTTCCTTTGGAGTTATTTCAGAGCAATACATACATTATTCTAATGTGACATAAACACCCACCCACCTCCTTTCCATCAAAAAGAGTCATTTGTAATCACTGAAGAAGTACTCACCTAAATGTTCTGTGGTACTTCTCTGGAGGATTTTTAAAATTCTGCCATATAAATTTAGGAAATGTGAGAGAGAAGATCCCACCAATTACAGCATCTCCTGGATGATAGAAACTGTCCTGAATTGTTCTGTTATGATTGCATCCACCTTTTATGTCTTTAGATACGTGAGAAGGGAGAAGAAGAAGCAACAGCAGTAATATTAATAACCACCGAAGCACAACAACATGTCTCCTCAGCCCACAGCAGCATTCTGACATTCTCAATTCCCCTCCGAGCTGCAGTAGGCACACCGGGATAATTTCTCACAAGAACCACAAATGCACCAACTGTTGAGACAGCAACTAAAGAAGAGGAGATAGATTTTGTCTTATTTCCCTAGGGAGCATATTCCATAATAGAGGTGCACACTGTGACTTCAGCACAGTTCAGAATTGAATCACCCATCTTAAAAAAAATACATTTGATGTTGATGTTGACTTTACAAGAATGAAAATTAATAACAGTGGTTTTGCAAATTTCAGGGTATGGATACAGTTCCCTAGTTTCATTAATTCCTTCCCTATGCTTCTGGAAAAACATGTTTACAAGATTTATTTAACAGCTACGTTTTACATCCATGATAAGAAAATATCTGGGGAAGTTAACTTCTATTACATTGCTCTGAAAACATTTGTTCCTGGTACTTGCAATTGGGCCTAACCTCTAGAAAGAGTTAGCTAAACCCCTAGGTTTTGCTAAATAAATAAAGAAATAAGGTAGCCTGCACCTGAGAAGGGAGGTTCTGTTTTGAATTTGTGAGGCAAGCCCTGAACTGAACAGAAAAATGTTTTCCTGATTTCCGCATCTTGTGTGTGAAAACCTCTCTACTTCTAATGAGCTTTTCCTTTTAAGTGGTCCATCAAAATCAATATACTGGAATTATTTATAATGCAGACACTTTTGGCATATATGGGCAAATGAGTATTTGCATTTGTTCCCTTACAGGATAAGTCGTAAGGCAATAAAAACTTAACTGCTCTGCAAACAGTATTGGGAGGAGCAGAGAAACTTTTTCCCTAGGTAAGATCCTCCCTCTATTGTGTGGGCAGGTAATCCCTCCCCTACCTGGCCTGGTCTCCTTGGCAACGCTTCCCCCAGGTGGGATTGGACAGCTGACTGAGGTAGGCGGAGACTGTTGGTAGGCTAGATTGTTACCTCCCTGATTCCTGGCAGGCCAAATTTGACAGGAGGATGGAGTCGCCTACCTACCAATCACCTTGTGACAACAGGTGATCCTGTGCTTTGCTGGGACTTCAAATTTCAGGGTAGCGGTTGTGAAGTTCAAAGGGTGTTCAAATGCCCACACTGCTTCTTGGTGCATGCCTTGCTCAAGAAGGAGAAAGTGGTTTCTAATCAATGCAAATTGCTTATCCATTTGAGTGCTGCTTTTAGAAGCAGCTTCATGTTGTTCTTTCACATCTCTGAACCAGAGGTTTAGAGGATCATGGCAAAGCTGTTTGCAAAGGGCTTCAAACAGCTGCACAAAGAGGCAGGGGAAGCTGATAAGAAAGGGCATGCAAACAAATTCACTCTGCTCCTTTGCACCTCTTTTTTGCTTTTTGTTTTAAATTTTATTCAGATGTACTATGCACATGTTATAAAATGTTATATATGTCATCAAAAGGAACCTCACCACTAGCCTTGAGGGATGTAATGAAACATTTTTGGTACTTCATATGTGTTGGTATTCCTCTGTTGCTCAAAATTTTTGGAAGGAGATTATGTCCCTAATCATTATATGGCGAATACATTTTCTGCTACTACTTTTTAGTTAAAAAATAACTTACCTATAAGTTCTACGATGCCTTTCTGGTTTTATTTTAATTTATTTATTTTCTGGTTTCAGAAAGAGTATATATTAGAGAGAAGATTCCACCTATTATAACTTCTCCTGGATTGTATCATTTATCTTGGATGCTTCTATCAAACTACAGTTGCCTTTCATGTCTTTGGATGCAAGAGAAGGGAGTAGGAGCAGCAATAAAAGCAGCACCAAGAGCCACTTGAGTCTCCCCAGTCCACAGCCAAACACTAAATTCTCAAATCTACTCCCTGCTACAATGGTCCCTGCAGTTGGCACACAACCAAACATTCACATAAGAATCACATAGACACAGAAACTGTGGAGAAATATGTTCTACTTGAAAGCGATGAAAGAAGAGGATGCAGCCATGCCTCCCAGTGGACCCAATCCCACTCTGATTGGCACACTGGGACGTCAGCAGAGAACCAGTTTCAGAATCTAATCACATGTGCTTCTAATCTGGAAAAAATTGTATCCTGATTCTTCTAAGATTAAGATTAATAACAGTTATTTTGAAAATTATAGAGTAGTGAATCAACTTTCAGGGGCCATAGTTTCTACTTCTGGGGGGAGGGGGGAAACATGTTTACAAGATTTACGTGAATATACTTTCTGGTTCACTTTTGGTAGGTACTGGAAAACTTTACGTCTATTGAACCAGTGTGAACATAGCATATAACATAACATTCATTGAATGTCAATAGCATACTGTCAGGGAACTGACATCGGAGCCAGAGGCGGAGGCAAGGCTCTCAAGCGATGCTGGAGAAGGGCCCAGCAGGGAGAGAGGCAGCTCATCATCTGGGGAAGGAAATCAGCGTAACACCAGGGATAAAGGGGGGCAGATGGGGGAATTGGCGAGGGGGCTCCAAGACTCCTCGCCGGAGACCAGCGGGGAGAGCACGGGTCCTCCACTACCCATACCCTCCCTGCGCAGACGACTTCCGCGCAGGGAGAGTAGGAGGAGACTTGGGGTCAAACAGCTTTTATGCTGGAAAAGGTTTAAGAAACGCCCACTGACGGATTCTGCTAGCGACTGAGGCAGCCACGAAGTGAAGGGCTGTCCAGACAGAAAGGGTTTAACAAGGCAACATAGACAGGAGTGGCGGCAACTTACGCACGAGCAACCCCTATATTCATTACACATACCATCCAACATTCCTCAGAAAATAGGGACATTCTGTGTATAACCCAATTATATAGGTCTAGGCAAGACTAAAACAAAGCTCTTTTTTAGTGCAATCATAAGGAAAAGGATACCATGTTAATGTTGTGCATGGCAGCATAATTATTAATATTCTAACTCATTCATAATGCTAAAGTAAGAAATAAAATGTCTGTACTGCTGCAAAAAAAAAAAAACAAGTGTCAGAAATTACACCTTCTGGGCCCAGTGGTGTGGGTAGCGGAATACAGCTACTTCTGCAAAGGTGCTCTGATCAAAAAGTGGGAGACAAAATTTCCGTGCCTCCAGGTTTGCCCCAAGGCAACAAAAACCTTCAGGCTTATGGTCCGAATGTAACATATGGGAGTGTTAGTACTTATCTGGAGTTGAGATCAACTCCTTTTCTATATCTTAAATACACTTTGTTCACAACAAGTTTATGAGGGGTTTAGAGGATATGAAGGTGGTTCTGGTTCTGCTATCTTAAACAAACAGATTTATTGCCAAGGATGAGGGAAGCTTCCATGCAGATAAGATAATGACTCCTGTCCTGTACCCAGTGTACTAACGAGAGCTGCAAATTTTCTAATTTGTCTACTGCAACTTATATAATCAACATTGGAGTTTCCTGTGATGAGGGATCAATTGTTAAACCACCCTGGGAATGGTAGCTCTGGAAAGGGAATCCACACCTACTGAAGAAAATGGAAGATTTCTTTCTTAGAAGTTTTGATCAATGCAAATAATTTTGACAAGGCAATTTTCATATCCTTGTTTCGCATGCTGTAGATCACTGGGTTCAGCAGTGGTGGAACCACAGAATATATCACAGCAAAAGACAAATCTTGCTGTGATGTGGTACTATACATAGGACTTAGGTAAGCAAACCACCCAGTTAATAACAACATGGAGATAACAATGAGGTGAGGAAGACAAGTTGAGAAGACTTTTTGCCTTCCCTGAATAGAAGGCATTTTTAACACAGCGCTGAAAATATAAACATAAGTTACAACAATGAAGAAGAGGCAACCTGATTCAATGAAAATACTCAGCACGATAGCTCCAATTTCTTTTAGGTTCAAACCAGAGCAGGAGAGCTTTAGCAACTGTGGGATTTCACAGAAAAACTGTTTGACAACACTGGAGCAGAAGGGGGTTGCAAAGGTGCATCCAGTGTGTAACACAGCACAGAGAAGACCAGTGATCCATACACAGGCAATCATGTGGACACAGGCTTGCTTGTTCATCAGCTTCTCATATTGTAATGGGTTGCAAATAGCAACATACCGATCATATGCCATGACGGTCAGGAGAGAGACGTCGGATACTAAAAAGAAGACAAATAAGAGAACTTGAGCAACACACCCAGAGTAAGAAATGTGTCTGGTATTCATGAGGGAATTAGCCAAGGTATTGGGAACAATGACTGAAACAGATCCAAGGTCCTGTATGGCCAAGTTCATCAGAAAGAAGTACATGGGGGTGTGCAGTCGGCGGTCGAAAGCTACTGCAGAGATGATGAGAAGGTTCCCTGTTACTGTAGCCAAGTACAAAACCAGGAATAGAAGGAAGTGAAAAATCTGCATTTCCCGAACCTCTGAAAACTCTTCGAGCAGGAACTCTGATACAAAGGACTGGTTCACCATGGTTTTTGCCTCATGAAAGTGTGGGCTGCCTGTTGAAGGAAGCAGTCAACTGTTAAAATAATAGCACAGTGCTGTAAGAAGACAGGCTTCACTTGCTTGGATTGGGAAATTTCAATTTGTTATTACTGTGATTGTTTTTATGTCTGCAGAATTCATTCCAATTTATGGCTGTTATTTTGAGACATTTGTCATGCTCTGAATCTGACAGCCAGGCATTGGCAAGGAGAAGAAAACAGGGAGAAAGGAAGGGAAAGAAAGAAAGAAAGAAAGAAAGAAAGAAAGAAAGAAAGAAAGAAAGAAAGAAATGTGTGGCAGAAGATGATAGAACAGGAGATAGCAGGGTTTGCTCTGGGTTTGTTCTGAATAGAAATACCAATTAGCTCAACCACTACCTTATACACAATTGATTACATCTTTAGCATGAGTATATTTGCATGAAACAAGGAGGCTGTAATAGCAATAGGTGTGTGGACTATGCCAAGAAATTGAGACCCTGACAGGGAAGCAGCTCTTCCTATCCTTATCAGACTGGGCACAGTAACAACATATTCCATGTGTTAAGGGTTTATCAGGTCTGTTTTGCCATAGCTTTTTGATTCCAGCAAATACCATGATGGGGGAGTCATAGGTCCAGGTGTAAATCTACTATGAAACTCATGAAGCTTCAGCTTCAGGGCCCCTAATCTCAAAGAGACTCCAGAAGAGACTTTATTCACACATGTATATGACAGTTCTCTATTTTTCATCCCCCCAATAACTTTGTAAACTATAAGGCATAGGAAATATTTATCTACACCAGTGACTTTGACATGTGAGATAATCCAGTAGAGCAGTTTTAATCAAAATATGAGATGTAGTAGCAGGACCCCAAAAATATAGCCGCTGCATAGGTCCTTAATAAAGCTTTTTGAGACTTCCGGGTTGACGCGATCTGGAAATGGCGGATTCCCTCCGAGCTCCGGAGGGAATCGGCTCCACTGAGGATGGGTCTTTGCCGCGCCGGCGACGCGGGGACCCTTAAAACCGCAGGCGCTGAAGCCTGCGGACTGAAGACTCGGCGGGTGCCTTAAGCGCCCCCCCTGATTCGCAAAGAGCCTTTTTAAAGGCTGCGGAGGGGATACGGGGGTGGCGTGGCACTGAGAGTCGATCGCTACCTCGGTGGAGCGAAGCCGCGAGCCATGACCGGAGAGCGTTGACTTCCTTCCTTGAAAATTTGGACTGAAAGAATCACCCGTGAGTAAGACGGATTGGGACTTTTGAAAAACTTTACCTTTAATTGGAGACGACCGGGGGGTGTGCTAAAAGGAAGTCCGCACCCCCCCTTTGCAGACCATCTAAGCAACGACACAAGAGATAAGCTGGAGAGCCTACCCTTGGTGGGGTGAGTTAAAAAGGACACTAACTTTCAAGATTTTACTAAAGGAAAATTTTGTGCAGGAGAGTGGAGTTTTGGAAACCTTCCTTCTGTTTTAAACAACCCCCCCGCCCGGGCTCGGGAACGTCCTGCCTTCGTGCCTGCGTTAGAGCTGCGGAGTTTGACAGCTGTCAAAGCTGCCAAACGGGCGGTTTAAAGTGAGAAATTGCCATTTAAGATTTTTATGGACTAAGACGAGTTATAATTGAGCTGAAACTGTTGGAAACAAAGTAATAATAATCAGTTTAAGGATTGTTGGTGAAAAGGCAAATAAGTAACCAGATTCCCCCTAGGGGGAATTCTGTGAAACTACAATGGATACAATGGCTGTGGAAGGAAAGTTACTAGTGGAAATCGAAAGGATGTTTCAATTGGTGGGAATCTTACAGGAGCAGAGTTTGGCCATGAACAAACAACTTGAGACTATGACCTTGGGAACAGGCAACTCTGCTCTTTGTATTGAGGACCTCAATGAGAAAGAATCCACAGCTGATTGGGAAACAATATCTACAGAGCTGGAAGAGACTAAACAACAAGAAAAAGAAGAAGTAATCCTGGGAAGTAACAACCAAAAGTTGACATCTGTGGAATACAAGCAAGGAGACGCTGGGAACATATTCACCACAAGTCTGCGAGAGATACAGAAGAAGAAGGAGGAGGCCCCAAGACAAAATGGAGTACAGGAATTTAAAATAAAGAAATATGATTGGGGCCTCCGTTTGGACTTAGACTTGGAAGAGATAGACTTTGTGGAAATACTTCAGCAGCCACCTTTGAATCTTCTTGTTGGAAGAGGACATATTTTGATGGTGAAAGAACTTTTCCCAGATCTGACGACTGCTGTAAAGGACTACCAACAGGACAGGCGGAGAGGAACGGAAATAGATTTGAAAGCCTCGGACGTGAGGAACCCAGGCTGAGAACTTCGAATTTGGATTTTTATTGGGAAGGGACAAAAACCGGGGATGGGAGGGAGGGAAGAAGAGACTCTTAAAAACTCTTAAGACTTTTAGGTTTGGTTAAGATGACTCTTAATTAAGATAAAATGAAAATCGATGGAAGAGAACTTAAGTCCAACTTATGAAAACTAATTTTTATCATAAAAAAAAGGAAATAAGATGAACAAGATTGTTAAGAGGAGAAATATCAACTTGCTGACATAATCTTGAAACAGGGATGCATTAGGGGGGGTGGGGGGAAGTCAGGGAACAAGGTTATGAAATGGGGATTTGCTGACTTTATATATGTTTTTGTCTTTGTTTTTTCTTTGTGTATGTTTTGTCTTTATAAAAGCAGAAAACCAAATAAAAATTTTATTAAAAAAAAAAAAAAAATAAAGCTTTTTGAAGGCTCCAACTTTAGTTGTCTTTGAAAGGCATGGTTCCTAAAGAGAGAGAGTTTCTATGTTCTCTATGATATTAGCCACTTTGCTACTCATTGCAAAATATTGGCAGTGGAGGGGGAGAATTGACTCACTTAAGAGGATGGTACTGTATATCAAATTATTGGAATTTGCAACTTTAAGCAAACAGACCTGAATCTTATGGGTAAGAAAGGGGAGAGAAAAAATGAATATGCATTGTTCAAGAAATTTTGGAATAGTAAGTGAAGGATGATAGGCCACAATAATTCTCCCCAACCCCTTCTGCCTTTTATGATAAAAAGAGAGAGTCAGGTTGTCCTCTAGATGTTGCTGGACAACAACTCCCTCCATCCTTGACTTAAGGAATGGAGCTGACCAAAGGTGGAGACCAGCAACAGCTGCAGGGCCACCAGTTCCTCACCACCAGTTTAATGAATGTAATGCAAGGTATGGTTATGGTCTTCCTCAATTAAGGTGGATCTGAATTCTGCATGATTTATAAAACCACTGTGTCTTTCTTTTTTTAACATTTATTAAATTTGTAAGGATTTGTCTTCTCACTTGGTTATTTATTCATGAATAGTTTAAACAATTCATTATTTACTCATTTACTTAACTTTTCTTTTTCCAGACCTACGTATGCTTCCTTCCTTCTCTTTGCTTGTCTTCTTTTAAATGTTGAAATATTAATTGGTATTTTGTAATCTTTTTATATTTAAGAAAATGGAATTTAATAAAAAGAAAGGAAAGTAAATTAAAGCCAGCTTATTCCAAATTGCTGTGGTTACATTGCAGATTACCTTGAATGTATGCCAAGATTCACATGTTGGTATAAGAATATTCCCATGTTCAGGCATACAACTCATATAAGTACTCTGAGATATGCCTGTATGCCATGGGCATACAGAGTGATGAGGGGGAAAGATATTTTATTAATTGAAAAAAACCAAGGTGTTTCTTTCTGGAGGGGAGAAGTATACAGTATACCTTATTTTTATTAGGTGAGCAATTCATAAACTATTAATGGAATATATTCCTACCTTTTTTAAAAGAAAGCTGCCTTATAAAGAGTCGGACCACAAATACATCCACCGAAGCATTGTCTGTACTGGCTGGCTTCTGCTCTCTGGGATTTCACAGAATTCTCTTCCCCAGCATTTCCAGGAGGTTGCAAGGTTCTGAGTTTGGAGCTCTGCCTGCAAAGCATGTCCTCTATCAATGAATCACAGTCCCTCCTCCTCCTCATTCAGATATTTCTTTCAACTTCAGATGCACTTCTCCTTCAGCACTGTTAGAGCTATCTAGTCACCATTGAAACTATACAAATGTTCACCATCACTTTGATATATGAAGGTAATATGAAATTGACAACATGCTAAGGAGGTTTATTAATATCTATCTTGTGTTCCTAGAGATTTGCTCTCAGGAGTCCAACATAGCCCAGTAGCAGGGACATTAAGGGACTCTCTGGTCTGTATTTTTTACTAATGTAATTAGGAAAAACTGGCTCTGTTTGTTTATCTTAGAATGTCAGGACACTGAAAGGAACAAAATCTATCCCTGCTCATGCATTTAGTCCAATTTATTTGCTAAGAACCATTGGTTATCACAAAAATTTAGAACTACAGATAGTATTAGATAAGGTAAAGGTAAAGGGACCCATGACAGTTAAGTCCAATTGCAAACGACTCTGGGGTTGCGGCGCTCATCTCGCTTTACAGGCCAAGGGAGCAGGTGTTTGTCTGCTTCCACAGACATTTTCTGGGTCATGTGGCCAACATGACTAAGCCACTTCTAGCGAAGCCAGAGCAGTGCATGGAAACACGTTTACCTTCCCGCCGGAGCGGTATCTATTTATCTACTTGCACTGCATGCTTTCCTACCTGCTAGGTTGGCAGGAGCTGGGACCAAACAATGGGAGCTCACCCCATCACAGGGCCTCGAACCGCCAACCTTCCGATCAGCAAGTCCAAGTGGCACAGTGGTTTAAACCACAGTGCCACCCACGTCCAATAGTATTAGGATACATTTTAGCATATCTAGTCCACAGGAGATGGGGACTTTTGTATAATACATTGGGCTGCTAAGACAGACATAGAAACTTTATATGTACAGTTGTACCTCAGAAGTCGAACGGAATCAGTTCCAGAAGTTTGTTTGACTTCTGAAACGTTCGTAAACCAAGGTGTAGCTTCTGACTGGTATCTGATTGTACAGGTGCTC